GACTAATTGGAGACGTCTGAGGGAGGACTGGCTGTCTCCGAGGTAAAGAGTGTTACAGTAATCCAGCCGAGACTTGACGAAGTTGTGGATTACTGTTTCCAGCTGCAACTGCCATTTTGTGATGATGGGCTTTACCTTAGCCAGCTGTCTGAGGTGATAAAAACTGGTCTTGACCACCGCTCCAATCTGGGAATCTAATTTAAAATCACTGCCCATTGTAAAAAAAACGGGAACTGAAAAAGTCCCCCCAGGATGACAGTTTTGTTTGCCTTACCGACCACCCGAGCCGCATGCCGCTTGGACTGCCGATACCTATCAACTGCTTCCGGGGTCCAACATTTTTCAGTCATCTGGACAGATGACCTGACTGAAAAGTATTGGATTGTATACCTGGATTATTGAGCATGGACTTTGTTGCTTCCAGGGTCCCACAGGCCAAAAAGCCCCGATAGGACTCCTTCAGCCTGACAGCATCCCTCACCGCTAGTGTCCACCACCGGGTTCAAGGGTTACCGCCACAACAGGCACGACAACCTTACGGCCATAGCTCCAATAAGCCTCCTCAACAATAGAGGTGCGGAACATGGCCCACTCAGACTCCATGTCCCCCACCTCCCCCGGAACGTGTTTGAAGCTCTTCCAGAGGTGGGAGTTAAGGCTCCGTCTCATGGGAGACTCTGCCAGACGTTCCCAGCAGACCCCCACAATACGTTTGGGCCTGCCAGGTCTGACCGGCATCCTCCCCCACCATCGGAGCCAACTCACCACCAGGTAGTGGTCAGTGGACAGCTCTGCCCCTCTCTTCACCCGAGTGTCCAAGACAGGCTGCCGCAGATCAGATGAGACAGCAACAAATATCCTGATGCATGCTCAATAATCCAGGTAGAAAAATCTAAAAAAAGTTAAGTCTGGTCCTCTGGACATTCAAAAAGCAAAACAAACAACAACAAAAAAAAGTAGAAAAGTTTCATATTTCATCCGAAAGACTTCTTCTGTCTGAGGTGCTGTGTTCAGCTCAGTCTTATAAATAGCACCTTCTCATAGTAGATCAACCAGTTTGCTGCTGACAGCCAAAACCAGCTTTACACAAAGAATGGCCCAGCACAGAAGAGCAACATCATCAGGCCAGGACTCTGCGGTCTACACTCATCTCCAGGCCAGCAGTCACTCTTTCAGGGATGAAGATGTTCACATCCTGGATAGTGTAGTGAACTAAGCCTCCGGTCAAGACCTACCTCTGAAGACCTTCATGGGACAGGAACTGTTATTTCATTGATTTGAATCCAGAAATACAAATTAGCTTATCCATAGACTTTCTAATTGTATCCTGAACTAATCAATTGAAAGAACACTCTTTTTCATATTATCATTACTATTTTACAATATCTTGATAATAAAAGTGTATTTAGTTCATACCATTTTAAATGTTGAAATGAACCACTCATTTTAAATCAACTGTGAAACAGTATTAATGATTTTTTAATCCTCATTCAAATTAGAAATCAAGTTAAATGTCTGTTACAAAGTAATTATGCATTTTTGATCTTCTGTCTGAAATGAGAAAGGTGTGATGTCAGTCAAAAGTCGGAGACAGTCGCAAACAAGTTTATTGGAACGAACTGTCAAGTTTTTAAACCTCTCAGACAGAAACAAGAAAACTGGCACCTGTAAGTCTGTCATTTCTCCAAAACATTTATCTGTCTGTTCCTAAACATCTCCGCTGTTTTTCTGACTTGTAATGACCCTCTGACGTCACTAAAACCACACCCCTGTTGGTTCTTTCAACCAATCAGGACTTCCCAAAAGTGACCGGAAGCAGAACTCTTTAAAAGTCGACTCTTCCTAGTTCCAGGAGTTCGGAGGGAAAGTGCTAGTTCTGAACGTTCTAGTTGGGAGAAGTTCAGGAGAAAGTTCTGAAGCTGGTTCTGATGGAGTTCGGCTGGAGTTCCTGTCGGAGCCACGACGCCTCGCTGTGGCTCCACCCAGCGAGTGCCCTATAACTTCTGAGGAAGTTTGTTCTGTGGAACGAATTATCTTGCGACTTCTGCCGAGTCGCAGCCGCCCTGAGGAGACGCTGAAAGGTAGCGTGCCAGGGACCTCTTGACCGCAGCGGACCCATCCTCTGCCAAGGTAAAGAGTCGTCACGAGCTTCACTACCAGTGTACCGCGGGCGAACTGCGCTTGAAAGGAGCGTGTTGTTCTGGTCTTCAGACATACATCCTCATCCATCCATTTTCTCTCCATATAAACTCCTCCATTTCCCATCTTTAAAACTCTTCTATCTTGCCAGTAATTAATCCAGATATCTTCAGAAATGTCTGTTGTTTTTATTAAGTAAAACATGCCAAGTTTTATTAATCAGAGCCGATCAGTATAATCAAGTGTACAATGTTTTGATGTTAAATTTTGATTCTGTTAATAAATGACCACTTTCATTTTGATGGGTCAAAGAAAATTAACATCTCATGTCACTGATTAGACCATCTCCCAAACAGTACCTCTGTCACATATCTGTCAAGTAGCTCGAAAAAGTGAGAACCCGTTATTAAATATTGATTGTAGTGGAGCTCTTAAGCTAACTGAAGCTAACTGAAGCTAACCTAGCCCTATCTCACTACAATAGAGAGGAACGATAGATTGAGAGAGGAGTAAAGGAGGCCATCTTTGTGAAAAGAAACCGTCCATCATTAAACAGGGGTGGAGGCCTCCGTGTTCAACTGTCCCCCTCTTACAATGCTGTTATTGCTAGTATCACTCAGCTCCTGTGAATAGAAAACAGCTATCAGGGTGCTAACAATCCATTGTTAGGCTGATGGTCCTCCTTGATCACGTGAGCAGCTGGTTTTGGCTGTCGGCAACAAACTGGTTGATCCACTCTGAGAAGGTGCTATTTATTAGACGGAGCTGAATACAGCACCTCAGACTGTAGGAGTCTTTTGGATGAAAGACGGAATGTGTCTACTTTTTGTTTGTTTGTTTGTTTTCTTTTTTTTTTTTTTTTGAATGTCCAGATGACCAGACTTAACTTTTTTAGAGACAACAACAAAGTTGATCATCGAACTGTGGCCTAGGGTGTCCTGGTTCCAAGAGCACATATAGACACCCTTATGCTTGAACATGGTGTTCGTTATAGACAATCCATGACGAGCACAGAAGTCCAATAATAGAACACCACTCGGGTTCAGATCAGGGGGCCGTTCCTCTCACCCACACCCCTCCAGGTCGCACTGTCATTGCCCACATGAACATTTAAGTCCCCCAGCAGAACAAGGGAATCCCCATGATGCGCACTCTCCAGTACCCCTTCCAAGGACTCCAAAAAGGGTGGGTCATCTGAAGTGCCGTTTGGCCCATAAGCACAAACAACAGTCAGAACCGTCCCCCAACATGTAGGCGGAGGGAGGCTACCCTCTCGTTCACCGGGGTGAACCCTAACGTACAGGCACCAAGATGGGGGGCAACAAGTATGCCCACTCCTGCTTGGCACCTCTCACCAGGGGCAACTCCAGAGTGGAAGAGTGTCCAATCCCTCTCAAGTAAACTGGTTCCAGAGTCAGAGCCATGCGTCGAGGCGAGTCCGACTATTTCTGGCTAGAACCTCTCAACTTCACACACCAGCTCAGGCTCCTTCCCCATCAGAGAGGTGACATTCCACGTCCCAATATCCAGCTTCTGTAGCTGAGGATCACACCGCCAAGGTTCCCGTCCTCGGCCACCACTCATCCCACATTGCACCTGACCCCTTTGGCCCCTCTCACAGGTGGGGAAGGGGGACTCACGTCTCCTCTTCGGGCTGTGCCTGGCCGGACTCCATGGGTAAAAGCCCGGCCACCAGGCGCTCGCCAGCGTGCCCCACCTCCAGGCCCATCTCCAGATTGGGGCCCCGGTGACCCACGTCCGGGTGGGGGAACATTGGTTCCATTCATTTTAATCTTCATAGGGGTATTTGGGCTTGCACTTTGTCTGGCCCCTCACCTAGGACCTGTCTGCCTTGGGTGACCCTACTAGGGGCATGAAGCCCCTGACAGCATAGCTTCTAGGATCATTGGAACACTCAAACCCCTCCACCACGGTAAGGTGGCAGCCCAGGGAGGAGTGATTTTGTGATTTCCATTAGTTTTATTCAGTTCATTCAAAAGCAAAATCTCAGAATGAAAGTAACAGAGCTACTCCAACATGCAGCCACCTTGAGCGGCGCAATTCTAGAACATTTAGTCCTTTTTCAAAACATTGTTCACATTATTTATTTTTTTTTTTTTTTAAATTACAAAATATTTGTACACTTTTTTTCATCTTAAATTTAATTTTGTGACTTGTGAATGCTTTCATCTTGACAGTTTTGGCTCTCAAATGGAAATGTTTGGACACCCCTGTTCTAAAGGATTTAACTGAGATCTGGTGGTTCTGGAGAAAAAAGGAGTCCGGTGAATCTGGACTCATCAGACCTGGCGTTTTTCCACTCTTGTATTTTACAGTGTTGTGAGTCTGTGTGAACTGTAGTGTCAGTTTCCTATTCTTAGCTGACAGGAGTGTTACCAGGTGAGCTTCAAGGCCAGACGTGTTGTGTGTTCCCAGATAATATTCTGCAGACCTTGGTTGGAACAAATGGTTATTTAAATTAACAAGACTTTTTTCGTCCACACAAATCCCTCTCTGAATATTTTCTATTTTTTGGTCCATTTACTTGAAACCTTAGAAATGATCCCAGTAGATCAGCAAGTTTTGAAATCCTCATACCAGCCCTTCTGGTGCCTACAACCATATCATGTTCAAAGTCACTTAAGTCCACTTTTGACCCCATTTTGATGCCCGGTGGTGTCTTCACCATGTACAGTACATATGCCTAAAGGCTCAGTTGCTACTGTATGATTGACTAAATAGCTATTTGTGTTAACATAAAAGTCCAGTTGGGTGTATTAAGTTTGATTTCTGCAGTGTCTTTATGGCTTCTTCTATAGCCAGATGGGTGAAGTGATTATTTTGTTCTGCTTCCTGTTCAGACTCTACTGGTGAGCCTCTGTGTCTCGTCAGCTCCTCAGTGGAGTCAGAAGCCGAACTGCTCAAAGTGGAGTACCACAAGGTGAGAACATGTAATCAAATTACCCATTCACATGATCTGAAATGATATTTGTCAATACACATGACTTACAGCAGACTTACTGAATTTCCTGTCTGTGACCCATCAGGCTGACCGCTGTGGGCCAGACTTCTCCTCTGTCTATAGCAACACAGAGCAGATGATCAACGTGAGTTCATGTTCATCAAGTCATCCTGCAGAAGTGTTTGTTGTTTGTATGAGCATCTGCCGTTGAATGGTTTCCGTCCGTCCTTCCACAGGAGTTGTAAACTTTCCTACACATGTCTGAAACCTCTTTTTTTGGCCTTCTTAACTGGTGACGAGTTTTTCACATCAGGATCTGTGTCTCTGCAGGTAACATTCACTTCCCTGGATGTCATGCTTCACACTGAGGCTCTTCTGTCAGCCCTAAACTTCCTGTCCACAATACTGTCATCCAGCAGCATGCTATCTTCAGAGAAAAACCTTCTACCAAAGGCAGAGGAGAGGACAGTGTCTGCCAAATCCAGTTAGTATTACCCACTCAGACAGAAACACAAGCTGCAGCTATCTGTGTAATCATGCTTAACATGTGCGCTGCTTCCTGTCAGCTGCCTTAGTTTCCCCTATGGACTCAGACATCGTGGACCTGAAAGTGTCCATGACTCTAGGGGCCTTCAATGTCCTTGTGTGTGATCAGACCTGCAACATGGCTGATATCAAAGTTCAAGGTATGGAACAAGATCTGAGCATACAGTATGTCTTCTGTGATTAACTTGTATCAGGCCTGATTAGAACTCTCTGGCCTTTACCTTAGGTATAAATGGGTCTTTGGTTATGCAAGGACCTCAGACTCACATATCAGCCCGCTTACAGGACTTCATTGTCTTGAATGCTGATCCAAAAAGCATCCACAAGAAGGTCAGTCAGTTTTCTTGTTGACTTCATGCTGATTATTGTGGTTCTTGTCCATGTAGAGCCCTGGGAAACAGGAACTCCATCTTCTTTCAATTCCAGGGTTTTACATATCAAGACACAATAAACATTGATCTAGCTGTTACCTAGTTCTAAAAGTAATCAAATACTACCCCAGGTGAACAAAACATACAACAGATTCCACCACAAACGGTTTGTGCAAAAGACAAGATGTAGGATTGTAGGATGTAGGCTATGTTAGACTGGTACTAGAACCATTCACAGAACCTTGGAACCTGTCAGAACATGTGGATCCATCCTGGACTCTTATGGTTTTGCATGAGCTCATTTGATTCTGGTCCAAACTAACGGCATCTCTTTCTTCAGGCCATATCTATTGTAGGAGAGGAGGTGTTTAGTTTCAGCGTGAGTCTGACTCCAAATGCCACGGAGGGCGCAGACTACACTGACACTTCCAAAAGTGACAGCACGGTAAAGCTGAACGTGGGCTGCATCCAGGTGGTTTACCTGCACAAATTCATCATGTCTCTGCTGGTGAGTCACATCTTAACTGGGCTTATCAGAACTGGTTTCCTACAGGTGTGGGTTCTGGATTATTGTTGCTTCTTTTTTCTTTAATTTGCCCACCGGCTAAAGGTGAAAAGCAAATGATAATATTTTTACAGATATTGACCCAAAATTTATATCTTTAGTATCCGAGACTGGTTCCCAACTCATTCTGAGCGATAACAATTTGCCCAAAAACATTCACTATCAGAGTCAACTTGGTCTGCCTGTTAGTAAAATATCCATTCCACCACTGGATGAATTTTAATTAATCTTTCAGGAAATAATAATTTAACATATGTGTACAACTAATAAACTTTTAGAGCCAACCCAATTCAAGATGGCCACCACAGCCAACCAATCTTAGCAATCAATAATGGCTACAACCATAGACATACAGTACGTAGACACCTCATTGAGGGGGCTGGCCCATTGCAGCGGTACATCAGAGCGTCCGCCATATTGGATGGGGCAGATATATATATCTAGGGGTTGAATAGACTAGGCAATTCTAGGACATCTTGCAAATTTTTAAATTTCATGTTGACTAGTCACAGTCAGTGATTGTGTCACGTGATCAGCGCCGAGCCGCTGGCTACAAAACGGATTCTTACAAGCAGATGGAAGGTGAGGAGCAGGCCAAGTCTTCCCAAACGGGTAGAAATTCATAAACAATGTGGAAGTATTTCACTAAAGATGACTCTTCCGCTTCAACCGCTCGTGGTGGATTCCACCACCACCCACCCCGCTGTTTTCATTTTTATTTTATTTAATACACTAAATAAAATAAAAATAAAAACAGGGGGGTGCACCACCGCCAGTGGTGGAATCCAACACCACGCACCACTGCTGGTGGAGAATCCACCACCGCGCACCATGCGCAGTGGTGGATAGTTTTTATTTTATTTAATCCACTAAATAACATAAAAATAAAATCGGGGGCACACCACTGCTGCAATGGTTTATTTTATTTAGTGAATTAAATTAAATAAATCTAACTTTAGCAGCTTAATAATAGTTTTGGTTTTCCTGTGACTTATTTGCAGTATGATAAATGGTAGGAGCATAAATATACGCTCCTGATTTTTTGTTCTTATTTATTTATTTATTTGTTGTAAATAATAAATTGCTTTTTTTGTGAATAGTGTTGTGAGTTCCTATGATGTCACATCGACTAGTCAACTTCGACTCGACTTTTATCATGTTGGAGTCGACTTTAAAAAATATGTAGTCGTTCTCAATGTTCCGTCTAATTTTTCATGTGTCTGGGCAAACACACAAGCTCCCTGGGCACACTGAGGACCACTGCGAGCAACTTCAGATGAGCACGCTGTGGTCACACACCATTATCACACCTGTTCAAAACCTGGGATCGTAGCAAGTTTTTATTAAAATAATCAAATTACAGCAGCAATTTCCATAAGTTTACTTTTAATATAAGTGATCTGGCCCACTTCAAATGAAAAAGACAATAATCTTGTTGTTCTTGAGATGTGTAATATGTAAAATATGAGAGTCCTGCTTTGGTCTGGGTGAGGGTCCTGCTGTGGAACATGGTTAACAACACGTTGGCAATTAGTGTCAGAAGCATGTTTGTAATGTCGGGGGGACACGCTGGTAAAAGGGATTTGGGGGTCTTCCCCCAGAAAATTTTGAATAAAGTAGATGCCATTTCCTACATTGTGGTGTATTTTAATGGGTTGTTTAACATCTGGTTTTACCTACACAAGTAACATTTGATTCAATAACTATTTTAGAGTTAATAGCACAACAAGAAGTATCCTGACCAACAGCTCTCCTTATGTGAATAGAGCACGCTCCACTTCTCTCACACATCCTAGTCACTGCCTAAGAAACACAGTGTAGCCTAAGTTAAGTTTTAGGGGAAAAAATCACTAGCTTATATGAAACGATAATAATAATAATAATCACTTCTTCTTACCAATGGCCTAGCATAAAGCTATATGATCATCATCCATCATGTTTATTAGTAGCTTAAAATACTTAATTAAAACTCCAGTAATGGGCTAGGTCTATAGTAATCTTTCCCAGTTGTAGGGTCAAGAGACAAACATGTAGCATTAACACAGTATGAACAACATTAAGGAATAGTTTCTATAAGAACATTATCAAATATTTTATGTGAGCGGTAAGATCGCTCTGCCCACGAGGAAATGTAACCCAGGGTGAGCTAACCTCGGACAGACAAACAAACAAAGATACTGTAGCTGTAATGTGGAGGTAGTGAAGCTCACAACGTTACCTAAGGCATTTATTTCTTATCAACCAACATTAAGGCAAAGAAGACAGGAAAACGTTGGTTATGTACTGTAACCCCAGATTATATGAATATAGGCGTAGCCCTTTAAGGCTGTCGCTGATGGGTTTTATCCCGATATGCGAAGCATTGCACTGAAAAATTTAGTCCACGCCCACCTGCTGTGTGGGCCCCACCCAGTTCGTATAAATTACGTTAAGAGCGGGTAATCGGCTCCCAAATAGCTTTTTCTTCAGCCATTTAGGAGCCAGTGAGGCCCGACGCTTAAAGGGCTACGCCTATATTCATAGAATCTGTGGTTACAGTACGTAACCAACGTTCTATTTCATATAGGTTTCGCCCTTTAAGGCTGTCGCTGATGGATTAAGGGTGAAGCGGATGTTGTCCTCGCCTCACTGGGTCCATTCGAACACCGTATGAAGCAGAAGCTTGCCCAAAAAACGTCTTGTCACTCAGCTCCCCATGTGCGTAATTTCGCATTGCGTAATTATGTGTACCATGCACAAACGCATGGTGTGTAACTATGCGTTCTGAATGCATGAACGCCCCGGAAAACTTTCAACGGGGAGGGAAAAAAATGCTGAAAAGAGCCATGAGCCAACCGGTTTACGGCTGAACAGTATGAACAGATTAATAATAACAGTAGAGCTGATTATTAATCAAATGGGGGGGAACCCCTCCAACGATATTGCTTTTGATTTAAAAGAGCTTGTGATGTTTTTAGGCATAAAAGCTGGGTTTGGTCTTGGATCAGCTGAGCTGCCGTCAGCCTGAATTCTGAGACATGACAGCGCGACAGAGAGGGCAGATAAATCACTCACTCTCTTAGCGGATGTTAAAGCCAGCAGATCCAGAGGCTCAAATGGAGCTTTGATCAGGGCCTGCAGGAGCAGCGTTAAATCCCACTGTGGAACAAGTGGGTGTGAAACAGGCCTGCATCTCTATACACCTTTTAAAAAACGCTTCATCAGCGGATGATTAAAAGCTGTTCTGTCTCCTAACCCTTCGTGGCAGGAAGAGATGGCTGCAGCGTACATTTTAATCGTGCTGAACGCCAAGTTCCTGTCCATCAGCTGTTGTAGAAAGGACAGCATGCCACCTAGTGGACATGAGGTGGCCTCTACACCCTTCTCTGTACACCAGTGCTGAAAAGCTGTCTGCTTTGATGTGTACAGTGCTGTGGTAGATGCAGCACGTGAAACCTGAATTGTGCGCACAACATCCTGTGGGAGACCCATCCTCTCTAAGCGGATCCACTCAGCAGCCAGACCCACAGGTGCTGGCCTATTTCTGGGTAACTCCTGATCGCTCCTCCTGCCTGGAGGAGAGCGTCCTCCCTCCACGGCAGTTTCCACGGGCGCCCCGACAGCAGGCATTGCAGGACTGGGAACCATGGTGTGTTCATGCGCTCGGGTGCCACCAGGAGAGCTGTCAATCCCTCCTCCTGAACTCGGTTCTGGAACCGTAAAATCAGAGTAGGTGGAGGAAACGCGTACAGAAGCGTTTTGGGCCATGGGCTGTGGGCAAACTCATCCACCCCCAGCAGTGGTTCGTCTCGCGGGCTCAGAGAAGACCATAATTGACACTAAGCGTTTTCTCGTGTCGCAAATAGGTCCACAGCTGCTTTGCCAAATTTCTGCCATGTCTGAGCCATCAGATCTGGATGGAGAGTCCAGTCCCCGTGACGTGGACCGCCCCTGGACATCACATCTGCCCCTTAGTTCAGAACACCGGGTATGTAAACTGCTCTGATGGAGAGCAGATTTTGGTGTGCCCAACACAGTAGTTTTCGCGCAATGTGTAACATCTGGGCTGGGCGCACACACCCTGCCGGTTTATGTACGCAGCAGTCACCTTGTTGTCTGTGTGAATCAAAACGTGTTGATTCTGTAGCACAGGCGCAAAATGTTGAATCACGTTCAGCACCGTGCGACACTCCAAAACATTTATGTGGGCTGATGTGTGATGGGGCCACAGTGCCCCTACTGCTTGAGATAGGCATGTCCCCCCCCACAGCCTGACAGTGCCATGTCTGTGAAGACTGACACGTGTGACGTGGGTCTATTGACGGGGACTCCCTCCAACAGAACCAGGGTGTTTCCACGGAAACAGCTGTTATCACTCTGCCAGATCTTACGTGGCGGAGCTGGTCTTCCAGAGTGTCAATTCTCGTTTGTGATAAGCCCTCATGGTGGTTGAGTTTAGCTCCACTCCCAGATAAACAATTGTCTGGGCCGGGAAAATCTAACTTTTCTTCCAATTTATGGCGAAGCCCAGATTTAACAGGTGTGATGTCAGCTCCTGGACCTGTCCCGCTGCTTCCTGTCTAAAGCGTGACAGCAGCAGCAGGTCGTCCAGGTAAAACAAAACTCGCATCCTTGCTCTGTGTAACGGTTGCAGGGCCGTCTCCACACACTTTGAGAACGTACGAGCCGCGAGGGAATAACCAAACGGCAGCCTGTTGTACTGATACTTCGTCCCTTGAAAGGAGAAACACAGGAATTTTCTGTGTTTTGGGATGATAGGTATGTGAAAATAAGCATCTTTCAGGTCGACGGAAAACAAACCAATCGTTTCTCTGGATGTTGTCCAACAGTTGTCTGGTTGTCAACATGTGAAACGGTCTGTCCATGATCGCCTTGTTGAAAACTGACAGATCCAAAATGGGTCTCATCCTTCCGGTCCGTTTGGGAAACAGGAAGTAACGTGA